CAGTTGACCTAGCTGTAGGCACGCCCACCCACTCCAGCCACCTGTGCCGACTGCCAGATCTTTTTTGCTTTTTATTTTTGTCTCTGATTTCTTCTTTCACTGACCCTGTTGAGCATGGCTTGTTTACTGAATACTGTGCTTTTCTAGGGTCCCCTGTTTTTTCCTGCCTTCTTGTCACTGGCAGTTTCTACTCTTGTCTCATTAAATCTCCTGATGTGTTTGCTTGTCTCTGCACATGTGATTTAAATTTAACTATATACTGAAGGGACCAGCTCCCCATTTCGGCAGCCATAACAGCCAAACACATGCTTGTCTGACATTGTCTTAATCACTAAGGTCAGATGCCTGCCCCTTTCGGCAGCCATAACAGCCGAACACTGCTTGTCTGACCTTGCCTTGGTCACTAGAGGTTAGGTGCCTGCCTTGTGGCAAGGAACCAATCAGAAGTTAGCTGGTGGCGCTATGCTTTACGGCTCTGGGTGTGCTTTACAGACAAGCGCACAGCAATGACTAGAGAGCATAGCAACCACCCTGGGAGGGCCTATGGGCCATAACAAGCAGTTGACCAATCAACACAGGGCAAACCCTCGAAGCCCGGAGGCACACCTATCCTGAGCCTGTGTGTACCCCTAGACACTCCCCTTACGCTGCCCTACAAGATCTCTATGCAGCGGGTTCAAGCTGTCTTTCCTAGCCATCCGCCATGGTGGATAGATGGAAGGCCCGAGCTAACATGGGGTTAGCTCGTTAAACAACAATAAAGCCTCATGCAGTTTGCATCAAGCTTTCGCCTCCGCCTGGTGATTGGGGTAACTTCGGTTCTGGGCTGAGATCCTGGAAGCCTGAGCTTTTGGGGGGGGGTGTCTTACAATACTTAGCTAACTCTATATTCTATATGCAACTTAAACTGGTGCTAATTCTCATTTCTAAATTGCTATATATCTTTAAATAATGGTAAACATTTAAAATCATAAAGGTCTATTTCAAATTAACAAAATATTTATACCACTCAGTCCATCCTGTAAGCCATTTACAAAGGTACAGCTTTTTATTACAAAAGGGGATTTTTCTATAACTAAAGGCAAATTTTTGACTGCTGAGATACCAAACAGACAGACCACCCTCAAATGCTCAGAGATCTAGAGAACATGGCATTTAAAATGTTTTATTAAAAAGCTTTTTATAACAGAGAGAGAGGCTAGCTGCTGACCCCACCCCATTTCCTCCAAGAAGACTGGTGGGCACTGAAGAAACTCCAGCCACAAAAATAGCAACTGAGCAACCCTGCCCTTCATCTCAGCTGCTGCAAAGGACTCTTTGGACCATGGACAAGAAGACAATGGAATCAACTTTCCCCACATTGCTTGGGTCAATGATAGGCAAGTCTTTCTCTATAGTTCCCAATCCACAGGTCCCATGCTATCATCAGAAGGTGGGTGTCTGCAGCCCACAACCATGGAAGACCTTGGAGGTGGCTGTCCATGCAGCCTGCTGGCAAGTCTCTGTTATTCTTTAATCATAACTCTGGTAAAATCTTACCCTTCTCAAGAACTCTGATGCTTTTGACAACTGGTAGGTCTGGCCAGCTTAAAGTTCTACAATGCCACTATACAATCATAACTACAAGGTCAAGATTAAGATTCTTTTCATTGCCCTAAAAAAATGTCAATTTTAAAATGTTAATGCTTTCAGCCAAGTTGCTTCTAACATGAATATACTACTAATGTGTCTAAAATTTATGTTTCCACAAACTCTAAGGATTCTTGTAAGTTCTAGGGAGCTAAATTGGATCTAAACAAACAGGACAGATTCACTCCAAATAAATATTAATCAATCTTTCCCTGGTCCCAGGACTCCCTTCCCTCATGTTGGGACCCCTGGGGAACCCCTCCCTCATCTTACAATCCTCTCTTCAAGTGCCAGGACCTAAGAAAAAATTTTTGCCTAAACTTAACCTTGTCCTCTGCTCTTCCAACATCTTGCCAGGTCTCAGAGGTACCACAGTAATGAAACAACCAGCTACCCCAGGACGTGGCAGCATCCCAGCCTTCTCAGGTCCCCCAAAGATGGTCAACGCCCCCAACATCAGCAGGAAGTAGTTTTGAGAATTCAACGTCCTTATTCCCTAGCTTGCCATGTCTAACACCCCACCTTTTTAATAATAAGTAAAAGTGGGATGAAAGGTTTAGGCAGATACCTAGGCAGCTTAAAGGGCCCTGTGTTGCCTGGCCACGTCAGGGCTATGTCACTCATTACTAGGCTGTGTAGGGATTCAGTGGGCATGTGCAAGCTCCCCTTTAAGCCCCAGCATTATTCTCCTCTCTCTCTCTCCCCTCTCTTACTCTCTGCCTTACTCTGTTCTTCCATTTCTCTCTCTCTCCCCACCTCGCTCTTCTGCCCTATAATAAACTGGTTAATGTGCTCTCTATAGTCCATGTCCATCTCTCTCGAATTTCTAATTTAAGCAAAAGAATAACAAATATTACCTCACCTGGTTTTCCCTTAATAGCATAAAGAGAATACTCAATGACTTTTTTGTTTAGGGTTTTTTGAGACAGAGTCTCTATGTAGCCCTGGCTGTCCTGGAACTCACCATGCCAATCACTCCCTCCAACCTGCCTCTACCTCCCAAGTTCTGGAATCAAACCATGCACCACCACTCCCAGATTTGACTTTTCACAAGACTTTATGCATTTCCTTCAAACACCTTCAACTCATCTACTGTCTGCTTCTTCTATAAATCTGTAATGCCTATCCAATAAAAGGCTGCAACTCATAAATTATAACATTAGGCCAATAAGAAGTATTTTCCAAAGATTAAAACAAATAACTAAAAATTTTAAGATCTCACAAACAGTAAGAAAGTCAGTCCAGTTACCATCTAATACAATTCTAATCTCAAGATTAAAAAGGGTTTCCAAAAAAACATAGTAAGCCCCCAAGATTCCATGTACTGACCCCAAAAATAAATAATATAGGAATGGGAGTTAGAGAGATGGCTCAGTGGTTAAGAGCCACTGGCTGCTCTTCCAGATTGGACCCCAGTCCAATTCCTAGCATCTACATGGCAGCTGACAACTATCTGTAACTCCAGTTCTAGTAATCTGGTACTCTCACACTGACATACATGCAGACAAAACACCAATGCAAATAAAATTAAATAAAAAATACTAAAAGAAAAAAATACAGGAATAAAAAAGCACCCTAACCAATCACGATGATCCTAAGTTTTAATTAAGTTGTCTGACTCCAAAAGCTCTATGGGCCCAAGGAAATTAAATTCGCTGAGTACATAGAGGAAAAGGAAAAAGTGAAAGCAGAAAATGGCGATGTGACACCTATTTCTTCCTAAAGCATATTCTTACTCAAATTATTTGCAGAGTAGCACCTCCACTTAATATTGCAAAATTTATAAGCATGTCACATTTTCACTCATATAATGTACAACTAACTAGCCACCAAATAAAAATACAATCTCTTACATGAACACAATAATTTTTCCAAAATAAGTGAAATGGCAAAGATTTACCTCATTGTTGGTATAGTGCAGATCCATAGACTGCCCAAAGGCAACTTTAGACTTAGACCTCAGATCTTCTAGTTTAACTGGTCTGGTAACCTGTAGGATTCTACATGAAAGTAATTTTAAAATACTTTATTTTGTTTGCCATAAACAACACACTTATAACAGTTCTGTTTTGTTATGCGCAAAAAATTAAGGGCTGGAGAGATGGCTAAGCAGTTAAGAGCTTAGGACCTTCCACAGGACCGGGGTTCAATTCCCAGCACCCACATGACAGCTCACAATTGTTTGTAATTCCAGTTCCATGCAGACAAAACACCAATGCACATAAAAATAAATTTTAAAAAAAGCTGGGCAGTGGTAGTCCATGCCTTTAATTCCAGCACTTGGGAGATATAGGCAGGTGTATCTCTGTGAATTCAAGACTAACTTGATCTACAAAATGAGTTCCAAGACAGGCAGGAATACACAGAGAAACCCTGCCTTGAAAAATCAATTTAAAAAGGTAAAAATTACAACACACTTTTAATAAAACCAAAAAACTTTCGATACAAAATTTAGACTAGAACCACTAAATTTTTTCTATGCTAACTATAATTTTTAAAAGAAGATTCCCAAAGTTTTAAATTCATAATCGCATAAATATTAAAGACCAGTGTAAAGTGTCCACTCAGGAAAGTGTTTGAATTATGGGACAAATGTGTTAACAATACAATAAAATTGTTAAGAATAGTAATTTATCCATTCTGTGGAAATCAAATTTTGATTTCTGAATCCTTATCAATTCAACATTTTAGCACATATACTATATAAGCATCTCTAAGACATCTTAAAGCGACTGAAGTAAAATAATTTGCTTCTTCTATTCCTAAGGCCTGGCCGGCTAGAGAACACACACTAAGTCTAGAAAGTACCATGTTAGAATTATTAGCTTCTCAGGGAAGAAGCTACTTCCATGCTCACTTTATACAACCTTAGGGCCTATCACACACTAAGTGCAGAACTAAGGGAATGGAAAAGCTAGCAAATACCCAGAAAATAATTTCAAATGTGTCAGGCACACTTTTCTTTTATCAGTGTCTCTGGTAAATTATGTTTACATCTTCAAGTTATATGACTTGTGAGCATTTTAATTTCCTTAAGACTAACAGGCCTTCATTAACATAATGAGTCACTAATATGAACAACTTAAAAAATTTATCTTCTATAACACCCTATTAGCTCTTTTGTCAGCTACTTCACCCTGAGGTAGAGAGGAGAAGGCTACCATCCTGCTAAATACATAGTCTGCAAGCTACCATTCTAACTCACTTGTACAGCATTATTAACAAAATACATGTCACAGCATTGAGAAGAGTCAAAAATTTTACTCAGTAAAAATTAAAGTACATAGTAAAATTATAAATTGTGTATTATGCAGCGATCTTACTTAATTCCTGATACAACAAAGCAAGCACATTCAGTATTTCCAATGGTTAGCAGGCATTTTGATATATTCTATTTCTCTTCAGCCTAGGTGAATGTCCCACATTACCAAAGACTATTCCATCTTTAATTTCAAAACTACAAAACTTCATTCAAATCTACCAAGCATCTTTAATAGCTTAATTGGAATATACATTTTATTATATAACTTAATTGATGTGTAATGTTTCCTTATTTACCTTTTTTCTCCTCTATGTTCAAATTTGACTCGGACGTCATTCTATAATAAAATGAAGATATCATCATAATCATGTAAAGACCAGATAAATTTGTGAGTCATTTTTTTCCTCAGCCTACTCATTAACACAGAGCAGAAGAGAGGGGGGTTTCACTTTCAAGGTGTAATCCCAATCACCTGATGTCTGCCAAAAAACTGAGCTGAGAATTACAGTGTCAGATCTGACAATAGAAAAGAGCACCAAAGCTATTTGTGCTCAAATAACCTGGGCCTAAGGACATGCTGAATGCTATATTGTAGTCCTTCGTCATCTATATGTTTCAAGGTCTCTAAACATATATTTGTTGGTTTGCTTGTTTTTCCTTATGAAGTTCAGAACTTTCTCCTTTTCTCATAAAGGAAGTACTTTAAAGCTTCTTTGGTGCATATTCAAATTGTCAGTATCTTCACTCTCATATTTTGGTAATTGATCCCATAACTTAAATAGCTTCTAAGTAACAAATAGACAGGTAGCATATACAGCATGGATACAACACACGGAGGTATGATTCATGTCCAAGCAGAGTAAAGCAGGATAGTGTGATATTGCATTATATTTCTTCAAATGGCATAACATTTAAAACTTACGATCTGCTTATGTCTACAACATTCCATGTGCTATTTTCTGACCTAAGCTGACCATCAGTACATGAAACTATGGGAGGGAAAAACACAGAGAAGGGAAAACTCTAATATTTCTACTTTCCATGCTTCCTATCTCATACTAATCTTGTTTATAGGAATCAAAATCACCACATTGCTAAGTATCCGGAAGAGACTTCTAGGGAAAACAAACAGAAGAAATTGTTTGTATTAGACACTTGGAGAATGGATTAAACAGTAACTTAAGCAGTTATAATACAGCTTTTTTAAATGTATTCATTTTCTTCTTGTTACTATTTCTTCAATATTCTACCTCCACATAATATTTATATTTTATCACATATTAAATGTAAATACAAAACTAAAAATGCAAACTTATCAGATAATGTACTAAACACAACATTTGATTCAAAGATTAAAAGGAATCCTTATAAGATCAAGCTGTGAAATGAAAGTAATTCACAGAACAACAAAATACACTTAATAAAATATTAGTGACAGATGGACTAGAAAGATGGCTCAGTGGTTAAGAATTACATACTGCTCTGGCAGAGGATGTAAGTTCAATTTCTAACACCCACATCAAGCAGCTTACAACCACCTATCACTCCAGCTCTAGGGAGATCTAGTACTGCTGGTGTCACAGGCACCTACAATTTCATGCACATATCCACACAGACACACAAATACACATAATTTTAAAGTAATAAAATGAAGTCTTGAAAGTATTGCTGAATAAATACCTGGGTTTTTGGTGAAGAAGGTTTTGTTTTTCTGGTTTCCTGTAAAGATAATGCTGGCCGGCTAGCCTTATGAAGGACAGCCAAATCTTGCATGATTGAATTCAAAGCTTGCTGATCATCTGGGTATTTTTAAAAGAACACAAACACAAAAACATAATTTCAACATTTATTTATCATAGACATCAAGCAGAATTTATAATGGAATTTAATTTAAAAATGAATTAGTTGGACAGGAGAAATGGCTCAGCAGTTATGAGTGCTTGCTGCTCTTTCAGAAGATCCAAGTTTAGTTCCAGCACTCATACTGAGCAACTTACAACCACCTGTGACTCCAATTCCAGAGAATCCTGTCCCCTCTTCTGGCCTTCATTGGCACCCACACACATATGGCACACACTTTTAAACAAATCTGTTGTTGTTATTGCTGTTGGAGACAAGGTCTCTCTATGTAGCCCTGGCTGTCCTGGAGCTCACTATGTATATCAGGCTGGCTTTGAACTCACAGAGATCCACCTGCCTCTTTTTATAAAACAAAATGTTGTGTTATAAGTAAATACAAAAAAAAACCCACCTCTGAGAACAACTAACATCAAACTGCATAAACTAAGTGTTCACATAAGAGGCATTTATTTTTGTTTTAAATATTTCTTTTTATTTGTTATCTTATATTATTTTATTATTTTTAAATGCTTGTATGTGGTAAGTGTATATGAGTGCAGATGCCCATTGAGGCCAGAGGCGTCAGATCCCCTAGAACTGGATTACAGGTGGCTGTGAGCCATCTAATGTAGGTACTGGGAATAGAACTCAGGTCCTCTGAAAGGGCAGTATGTGCTCTTCACAGTATGAGCTCTTTTCTCTCTAAGCCTTACACATGAGACATTTATAAAGAAGTAAATGCCATTCTAATTCATTTAATAACTTAACATCTTCAGTCAAAACAGCCCAGCCTGAACAAATTCTTTTCTATGTCTCCCAAACAAAGCATCACACATCAAAAGCCTTAATAAAGAAGAGAAAAAAAAAAAAGGAAACCTTATGTAAATATCATCTTCCTTTATATTTAAAACATGAACTTCACTTTAGAGATGTGTTCCTGTGACTGATGCTTAGAGGAAGAAAAACATCTCCCTCTGTGGACACTGGCCTACTAATACTCTGAAAGGTTCTCTCAAAGTTCTTCCTTAGACTACAAACGTAAAAGTATTTATCAGGCTGGAGAGATGGCTCAGTGGTTCAGAGCATTGGCTGCTCTTCCAAAGAACCCAGGCTCAATTCCCAGCACCCACATGGCAGCTTCACAACTGTCTATGACTCCAGTTCCAGGGCTTCTAACACCCTCATACAGATTAAATATCACTGCACATAAATCATCAAGAAAAATAAGTAAAATTATTTATCAACAAAGACCAATAGTAAAATAAAAACTGTAAATAAATAAAAACTATTTTAGTAAAATAGTAAAATAAAGACACAGCTGGAGAGGTGTCTCAGCAGTTAAGAGCACTCGCTGTTCTTGCAGAGGACCAAGGTTCCATTCCTAGCACCCACATGGTTGCTCACAACTGTCTGTTAACTCCAGTTCCAGACAATCCCTCAGCCTCTATTATCCACTATAGGTACCAGGCACAGATATGGCACAACAGACAATACATGCAGGCAAAACACCCATACACAAAAAAATTTTGAATTAAAAGTGAAAATACAAAAATTCATTTCTTAGAAAACAGAGTCCAGGGCTGGAGAGATGGCTCTGAGGTTAAGACCAGCACCCACATGGTGGCTCACAACCATTTGTTATGAGATCTGGTGCCCTCCTCTGGTGTGCAGATATACATGGAAGCAGAATGTTGTATACATAATAAATAAATTAAATTAAAAAAAAAAGAAAACAGAGTCCACCCAGGCAGTGGTGGCATACGCCTTTAATCTCAGTACTTGGGAGGTAAAAGTAGGAACTCTCTGTGAGTTCCAGGACAGCCAGACAGCCAAAGGTACACACAGAGAAGCCCTGTCTAAAAAATAAAATTTAAAAAAAAAAAGGAAAAAGAAAGCAGAGTCCAGAAAACTAAAAGGAGAAGTATAAACCATAAACTTCTAGTCACTTCTAAGTAGACCCAAGATTTCTTTTAAAATCATAAACATGTACCGTTCTGTAATACCAATCATAAACTCTGTGGAATCTTCGAAACAACAGATTTTTGCTAGTAAACCAATCTACTAATGATTATAAACGTGTAAATAAAAGAATCAAAGGTATTTACAATTAACATTTTTTTAAATGTAGCCATTTTGTTGGGCGATAATTTATATTCCTGAATAATAACAAAAAATGTTCTGTAAAGGAAATGATTAAAAAGAAGCTAGCTAGGCAGTAGTGGCACACACCTTTGATTTTAGTGCTCTGAGGCAGAGGCAGGAGGATCTCTTTGAGTTCAAGGCCAACCTAACCTAGTCTACAGAGATAGTTTCAGGATACCAGGGCTATTCAAACAAAACCTGTCTTGAAAAACCAAAAAGAGATAATCATCATCATCTAGTAATTCAATAGTTCCAACAGTCATTTGACTATATAAATAGCTAAAATATACACCTCATTGGTTTTTAATATTCAATAGTTTATAAAATAAGATATATATATATATATATATATACTAATAATTAAGATAAAGACTGTAATACTTTCATAATAAATTCTAGGTTAAGAGAAAAAATTTAATTACATTTATTTACTTATGGGGGGGTGCACCACAGTGCTTGTGTGGAGGTCAGAGGTCAACTTGTAGAAGCTGGTTCTCTCCTTTCCCTGTACGAGTCCAGAGAATCAAATTCAGGTTGTCACACTTGGCTGCAAGTGACTTTACCTGCAAAGCCATTTCACAGGCTCCAAGAGAAAAAAATTTAAGATTTTTTTAAATGTATGTGTATGTGTGTGTACCTGCCTGAGATTGTGTGTGCCACATGTGTGTGGGTGACCATGGAAACTCAAAGAAAGTCTGAATAAGCTCTGACTGATTCCAAATGGAGTAAAATCACTTGATATAACATTTTTTTTTTAAATCAAGCTGCGTGTGGTGGCACACACCTTTAATCCCAGCACTCAGGAGGTAGAGGCAGGTGGATCTCTGTGAATTCAAGGTCAGCCTGGTCTATAAACTGAGTTACAGGACAGCCAGGGCTATTACATAGAGACAGCCTGTTGGGGGAGGGAGGGTTAGAATCCTTAATTCCACACTGGAATGAGAATCTAGTACTTACGATATACCAATCTTGTTCTGATTATTTTTGCTAGAAAAATCTTCAGCACTAGAATTTAGGCATTTTCATATACTTATTATCAGTGTCCAAATTAACAATACCTAAGAAAGCTTTTGTTTAAATCTCTTTTCATGCCTATTTATATTTATTTCCACGTTAAGTAAAACAAAGTCCAGTAGTGGTGGTGCACACCTTTCATCTTAGCACTCTGAGGCAGAGGCAGGAAGATAGATGTTTGTGAGTTCAGGTCACTCTAGAGGGAGTTCCAAGACAGGCTCCAAAGCTACAGAGAAGTCCTGCCGAGAGAGAGAGAGAGAGAGAGAGAGAGAGAGAGAGAGAGAGAGAGAGAGAGCAAGAGCGAGAGGAGAGAGAGAGACAGACAGACAGACAGACAGACAGACAGAGACAGAGGGGGGAAGGAAGGAAGGAAGGAAGGAAGGAAGGAAGGAAGGAAGGAAGCAAAATTAATAATTTTTATCATATATGTAAAAAAGGAAAAGGTCATTTAACAAAAGTTCAGGTGTTCGGAAGATGACATACCACGGTAGAAACTTTGCAGATACTGACAAGACAGAAGAGAATTATCAGTCCTACAAAATAACAAACACAGTGTACACACACTAACTTGAAAGGGACTATTTTTACAAACTCTAGTTAGAAATGCCTGTGATAGCCATGAGATGCCAGGCAGATGAGACAGGTAACAGGTGTCAGAAGGGTCATGGATTGATCCAACAGGGAGTGAGGATCACAGACTAAGCACAGGCACAAAAAAGAAGCAGATGTTTGACTCCTGCTAAAAGGACACTCAATTGACCATAAAAACAGAAAGGGCTTGGGAAGGAATCTCAAAAAACTTTTATTAGGAATACTGAATTTGAGCTGGGCTTGGGGGCACACACCTTTAATCCCAGTACTTGGGAGGCAAAGACAGAGGCAGAAGGATCCCTGAATTTGAGGCCAGCCTGGTCTACAACGAGAGTCCTAGGACAGCTAGGGCTACACAGAGAAACTCTGTCTCCAAAAAGCAAACGCAAAAACAAAAACCGTAGCAACAACAAAAAAAACAAAAAGGAATACTGAATTTGAATTTGATAGATTATAAACATATTCATTATACATTAACATTATCAACAAAAAATTTGAGTACTGGGGAATCCCATTTTTTGTGGTTTCTTTGTATTTAGACAGGGTCTCATTGTGTAGCCTAGAACTTTATGTAGTCCAGGATGGCCTTGAACTCAGAGATTCCCCTGCTTCTATCTCCTCAGCGCTGGAACTAACAACATGCAGCAACACATCCATCCAGCTTGTGATGCCAACTTTTAAACAGTCGTGGTTTTCTGTGAGTACCCTAGAATGTATTTTTTTTGTTTCTTTGTTTGAAATAATATATCATTTCCCCATTCTTTTATGTATTTTTAGGCAATGGCCGTTCTTTGTCATGCTGCTAACTGACAATGTATATTGTTTCAGAAGGGTTATAAAAATCAACTTAATATATAAGTTGAAGTGCAAGTGAAAGAAACAAAAGTAAGATGCAAACAGGAGCCAATAAAAGTGTCCAATCTGGAGCTACTAGAAACCCGTGTAGAGTGAAGAATCTGGGTTACCAGAGGACTGTACAGTCAAGGCTACAAAGAAGTGGAAGAAGAATTTTAAAAGTAGAAATATGAAGCTTTGGCGTACGCATTCAGTCCAACCACATACAGTAAAGAGTATGATATGCCCTCCAAAACAAGACTCTCTAAATGTCTTTTTAACCTCTTTTTTTTTTAATGTCTCTTTTGTGTGTGTGTGTGTGTGTGTGTGTGTGTGTGTGTGTGTGTGTGTGTGTGTGTGTGTGTGTTTTAAGCAATTGGTTAAAAAGTAAGACAAACTTTAGCAAGTAAACGTCAGAGTTAAGCTGTCAGAATCAACCTCAGCTTTAAAACAACATACAATTAAGTGGTCCACTCTTCTCAATCTAGTGTTGGGCAGACCAGCACTCTGTTTCTTTCTAGTGTCTAATTACTTCTTTAGGGTAGAACCCTCAATATTAATGAGAAAAGGAGGTGGAGTAGGCAAAGAAGGAAAAGTGATGTACAAACTGAAAGTTGGTAATTCATCCCTTCAGGACAGACTGCCTCTAAATTAAACTTAAAATGCCACAGAATTTTGTGAAATTGTTTCTGCACATCAATGACTTGCTGATTTCCTCAATTATGAAGTATGATTTTTTTTCTGACTACCTGACTTTCTAAACAAATCATAAGACAACTGAGCAATTACTTTGAATGTCTCTACTTGGTTCTGAAGCAAATAGTCATTCCAAAACAATATAGAAAGTACTCAACTCAAAACTGTTTTGTTTAGCTTTCATTTTGGTGGCACCTGTGACCGAAAGCAGGGCCTCACATATGCTAATTATTCAAGCATTCTACTTCTCCCTAAGCCTTAAAATCCATTAAGTAAAATGTTAGCTAAACTTCCTATATCACAGATATAAATCTACTATATCATAAATGTCTAAATAAAATGTTTATTATACGATAAATATTTTCTCCCTTATCCTATTCTTTATTATTATACACGTATAACTATTGTAAAAACGGTTTTAGCTTAAACTTACCCATTATGACGACCAGCTTAATAATTTGGAAATTAGGAAAATGGTTCTCCCATCAACATTCTTTATTGCCTTAAAAGGAAAGAAGATAAACACAATAATTAATAGCAACCAGAAGAGGCAACCACAAAAAGAATAATAATGGTACAACTGACACTAATGAATACTAGAAGTTTTGAGTTTTTCAGAATACTTAACATTAGGACCTGATTGTGTAGGTACTGAAAAGTTCAGGCAAATAACAGGTACCCTTCCCTAATACACTAAACTTCCAGGATCCAAGAAAAGCAGGTGATCACCAGCAAACCATATTGTTTGTATAAAGAGCTTAGACACAATGAGCCCTTACCACAACTTCTTCAAATCTCAGCTCCCAGGTGCCATTTTGTAATCAGGCATTTCTAATGACATGCAGTCTTCCTGCCATATTAATCTTTGTTTTAAAGAAAATTATATAAAGGATAACTATAATTGTTCCTGGGCATAAATTATATAATACAATTTGTATAATTGTCTGGAGTTTGCTGGCCAGCCAACCTATCCTAATCTAAGAGCTCAGGTCCAAGTGAGAAACTGTCTCAGAAGAAAGAAATGCAGTGAGGGTGGGCTTAAAAGGAAAAGAAACAAAACCAAAGTGGACAGCTCCTGAGGAAGGACACCCAAGGTTGAACTCTGCTCTCTACACATGTGTGCACAAACACATATACTCACATTAACACATTTATACATAATTTTTAAAGTATTATACAGGACCTGAGGAGATGGCCCAGTTCTTCCTTCATAACCCTGTGGAGGTTTTCTGTTTTTTGTTTTGTTAAACTAAATTAACATGGCTTGAATGAACTGCCCTATTTACACACAATCAAATCAATGTGACCTTAAACAAATTTATAGGAGAATTTACATACAGTGTAGACCTGGCCTGGTGCACAAGGGCAGGCAGATCTCTATGCGCTTGAGCCATCCTGGTCTACACTGCAAGTTTCAGGCTTGCCAGGGCTATATAGTGAAACCCTGTCTCAAAAAAAAAAACCAAACAAACAAACAGTGTGTGCCTGTGTGTATGTATGTGTGTGTGTGTGGTGCCACCACAATAGTAAGAGTGTGTAGAACAATTTATGATACTACTCTTGTGAAGAGAGGCAATCATGTTCTTGGTTGGCCTTCTGATGGCAGTTCACTATCATCCGGCTGAAAATGCTGGATGTTTTATTGCTATCCACTATAATGCAGGCCTTGGGAGAGCTCCAGTGCTTTTTGGCCTAGCATTCATTGAAGGTGGAATGAAATATGAAGATGCAAGTATAATTCATAAATACAATTCGTAAAGAAAGCAGTGTAAAGCTTTTAACAGCAAGCAATTTTTGTAACTGGAGAAAGCACTGTCCTTAAATATGGCTCTGCTTCAAAGATGCCAATGGTCATAGAAACAACTACTGTTTCAATAAACCTGGGGTGTCAGGTGCCATTGTCCTAAAGTGAAACTTCAGGTAAGACCTAATTTGTTGTGCATAATTAGCCAATGTGTCAGCCTAGTGAATAGTCTCCTGAAGCTTTCATGGAAACGCTGAAATCCACTTTTACCAGCCACAAGCTTGGCTGAATTGCAACCTCTATGTTTAGGTTATGATCCACCTATATTTAGACATTTAGCAAAAGATATCTGCTGTTCAACATTTAAAATGTGCTTATTACTTCTATTAACTGACCTTTCCTGAAGCCATACTGTTCTGAGTTACATCTTTAAGTGTACTATTGTGTCAGAACCTTATCAATACATATGAAATTTAGAAAGACAGGCACCAAAACACCCAGCACAATACTTGCATATTTTTTGCATCATACAGAATCAAAGTTCTAGGAACTGAGAACACCCTAGAGCTTCTGTGTTTTATTCCTCAGTCATTTCACACACTGTAGGGCTGTTCTTCATTACCAATCTATGCTTACATCTCTCACACTCAATACACATACACACCAGGTCTGTCCAGCCACTGATAAATTTCAGCAAGTCTTGTGATTCTTTGGTGATTTTTCTATGTCTTATTCTGTGCTATTATGGAAAACCTCCATTCTGATCAAGGACAGCAAGAACTACATGGTGAGTCCCAGTCTCAAGGGAACATGGGGAGGGGGATAATAAATTTGCACTCAGACAGAAGAGGGCTATTAAATATTTTTACTAACTGCTATGGTGGTGGTGCTATGAAAATGGCCTCTATATACCCACAAGAGTGGCACTATTTTGAGGTGTGGCCTTGTTGGAGAAGTATGTCACTGGGAGTATGCTTTGAGGTTTCAGATTCTCAAGCCAATCCCAGTGTCACTCTCTCTCTCTCTGCTGACTGCTAATTCAAATGTAGAACTCTCAGCTACCTATCCAGCACCATGCCTGCCTGCATGCTGCCATGTTTCCCACCATAAGGATAATGGACTTAACTCCTGAACTGTAAGTCAGCCCCAATTAAATGTTTTCCTTTGTAAGAGTTGCTGTAATCATGGTGTCTCTTCACAGCAATAGAAACCCTAAGACAGTTGTCTCTGTCTTGTGCAGATCATGCATAAATGCTCTTCAATTTAGTAAATATTTTTAAAGACAGAAATGACATGCAGCTAAATTATTTTATTTTTTAAGACTATAATATAATTGCATCATTTCCCTCTTCCCTTTCCTCTCTCCAAATCTTCCCATGGAACCCTTTCAGATTCATGGCCTTTTAAAATAGGTAGGAAGAGGGTGTGTGTGTGTGTGTGTGTGTGTGTGTGTGTGTGTGTGTGTGTGTGTGTGTGTGTGTGTGT